GGGACTGGAAGAGCCACATGGAGACCCCTGCCAGTGCTGAGATGCTTCTACTGCCACTGGATCCACAAGACTTTGTACTCATTGGCCTGTGATCTTCCTGAATTCCACATCATTGTATGTGTTTTGTGAGTCTGAAGAGGACTTTACAGATTGGTATTGGACATATGGGCTAATATCGGACTTATGGACTTGTTCTGGACTGGGCTGGGATGTTTTCTCAATAACCAACTGCTCTTGTAAATAAAGCTCTTTCTTATACATATATGAGTGCTGGTTTCTCCAGTCTACCCAGACTGACACACTCCCCAACTCCACAGCATGGCTATCGGCAGCAGTGGCTCCGAATACCGACTTGTTCTTGAAGCTTGTGCTTCTCCTTGTTGGCTTCCTCCAGCTGCAGCTGCATCTCTTGAATCTGTCCAATGTCCGCAGCAGACTGGTGAGATCAAACAATGCAAATAAAATGTTACCCTGAGATCACAGCTCTGTGAGAAACCAACCGCAGAACTCCCCTCTCCCCTGACCCATACATACCTAAGGCCCCTAAAGCTTAGATCACAAGGCAGCTTCCAGCTCATGGAGGCCCATGCACAGGGGGGTCAGAGTGTTGGGATCCACCTGGCCTTCATTGGCGGGTTTTTTCCGAAGTACATGTCCAGGCCTTCCTTCCAACAAGCCAACAGCTGGTCCCCCAAAGTGACCTCCCCCAATCATCCTTCCTTCTCCTGTTCACTGAGTCACTTCCCAGCATGCCCGTGGCTGTTCTCAACTGTGCTGCCACATATTACCCACGTTGGCAAGCCCAGACTGAAGTGAGCAGGCCACAGGTTTAACTCCCTGGAGCAAGGACGAGTCCTCACATCGGGTAACGGGTTCCAGAACTAGCTGTTTGCCTGGCCACCCCACAAAGCCTCTCTGCCCTTTAGTGTCCCCATCTGTGGAATGGGCTGCTACCCTGCTGTGCCCTTAGACACAGAAGTTCTTTGGTTTCTTAAAAGAGAGTGAAGTTTCTTTTAAAAGATAACAAAATTAACTGATTAAATGTGATTATCTCTTACAAGAGAGCTTTTAAGGAGGTAGAAGGACACTTATTTCTCTATTTCCCATACATATTGGCTATTTGAAGGAATTACAGTGGGCCTATGTACAGGTTGACTTTGTAGTTAAGCAAGTAAGCAAACTCCCATTTTTGGCAAAAATAAGGGATCTTTACAAATGGGAAGGATGCCGCAGACTTTTCTTAGGGTTGTTGCCCTAATGTGGCTAACACTACAAAGGCAAGCTCAGTGCTATCGAGTCAATGCTGAATCCTACAGGGCAGTGACGAACCGCCCCTGAGGATTTCCCAGACTCTAACTCTTTAGAGGAATAGAATCCCTTGTCCTTGTCCCATGGAGCAGCTGCTGGTTTTGAACTGCTGACCTTGTGGATCATGGCACAATGCATAACCACTATAGCCCTATTGATTATATATTTACTTATATTTAATAAAGTATGTATTTATAACAATATAATTTATATGACATACTAATTATATAATTGTAACTATCATATATTTACATAATTATAATTATCCTACATGTTTATGATTGATGAATTATAGAAGCATAACAATTGCATACTTATATAATTGGTTGTATAATATGTAATTAGTTGTATAATTCAGACTTTAAGATGTATATTATATAGTTAGAATTATATAATTAGTATCTCTCTCTCACTCTAAACTCACTGCCATCAAGGAAAGGCTGCCTCACAGTGACCGGTTTGGGTTTCTGACACTGTGACTACGTATGGGAGTGGAAAACCCAGTCTTTCTCCCACGCAGCTGGTTGTTTTGAACTGCATGTTCTGTTTCATGGCAGTGATTACCGTCCCCACAGTGTAACATCATTTCTCCTACCTCCTCCCTGTGTATCCTGCCTCCACTCCTCCTCCTCCTCCTCCTTCTTCCTTCTTTGTCCTTCTGAGCTTGGTCCCTGGGTCAATGCTGCCCTTTAGCTCTCCAAAGGGGGGTGATTCTAAAGCGTGTGTACATCCCTTGGATGACTGGTCCCTTTATAGATCTGTCTAGTGTTTGGCTGAACATTGAGTCAGGGAGGTAAATTCAGATCCAAAAGTTGACCGTTGAATGAGGACCATAATCTCAGGGGTTCTTATAGTTGATTATTGGTGTCATTATTGAGCCTTCTGCAGTAGAAGAGGAGCCAGGGTGGCAGGGTGGTGGTTCAAACCCATCAGCCCCTCTGAGGATGAAAAGATGAAGCTGTCTGCTCACATAAACGTGATTGTTTTAGAAACTCCAGGGAACAGGTCTACTCTGTCTGGGCTAGTTGCTTTGAGTTGGAATCTACTCAACCTGACTGTGTAGCATCACATATATTTCCACAGATCAATTGATTGTAGGGTGAACTTAAAGGCTGGTAGACCTTTTTGCCCTGGATCTCCCAGAACAAAATATTAGGAAGACACTTGCCAGTCTGGGAAGGAGCTGCTACCCCTAGCACAAAGACTATAAATATGATGGAGCCCCTCCTCACAGCCCTTGAGGTCACTCTGCCGAGCCTCCAATTTGCCACCAAACAAGTGGCTAGAAGGATAGAAGGGTGCATATATGGAGAGAAGAAAGGGTTGGCAGGTGAATGAATGAGTACATGGATGGTGGGTGGGTGAATATAAGAATGGATGGATGAATAGATAGATGGTAGATAAATAAGTCAATGAGTGAATGGATGTATGCACAAGGATGGACAGAGAGGCATGGATGGTGGAAGAATGGGTTGAAGGGTAAGTGGATGAGTAGATAGATTATGGATGTATAGGATGAGTGGGTGGATAAATAAATGGATGGATGGATATACAATGGGTAAAAGGATGAATAGATTGAAGGATGGAGAGATGGATGGAACGATGTGTGGATGGGTAAGTGGATGGTGAGTAACATGGATGGTGAATGGATAACTATTATGGTGGGTGGATGGATGGATATATGGGTGGATGGTAGATAAATGTGTGAGTGGATGGGTGATGAGTGCATGGGTGATGGGTAGATAGGTAGATGGGTGAGTATGTGAATGAATGGTTGGGTCCATGTACAAATGAATCGAAGGATGAGCAGAAGGAAAGTGGAAGAATGGGTTGGTGGATGAATGAATACCAGGGTATAAGGATGGGTGGATGGATGAATGGATGGATGTATAAATCAAAATCTTGCCTGGTGGAGATGTCCACCAGAGATCACACAGCATCTGAAGGTAGAATTCTCCTTCCTTAGAGCTACGTAAGCCTGTACACATGATCCCGATTTCAGTAGCATTTCCTCTCTCCTCTTGTCCTGGACCTTCCACCAGGAAGCAGCTCAACCCCTTTACCTCCCCAGCCTTCCCCACCTTTTTAGCTCCAGGCCCTTGAGTCTTCTCCCACATCAGGCTGTCACCTGGGCAATGAGGTCCTTGTGCTTCTTCATGAGCTCGTTCAGGTCATCCTGGTCCTCATCGATGCGCTTCAGGAGGTCTGCCCTCTCAAACTGCAGCCGGTACAACTGCTCATCCACCTGAGGGGAGGCAGGATGTGGGGCGGAGGTGTCTTGATGAGCAACAGAGGGAGGCCTGCCTGTCTCTGCTAGAAGCTTGGCCATCGGGGGGCCTACACATGCTGTGGGTGTGTACCTGAGAAGGTGCCTAGGTGGAGCCCTGCATGGCGCTGTACAATGGTTATGAGTGCTCATGTGTGTCTGTCCTGAGAAGGCATGTGACTGTATGAATGTAGCATGGATGTGAATGGCTAGATATATGTGTGGAAGCCCATCTGGGAATCTTGGTAGGCAGATCTATTTATAAATGTGCGTGGAACATATAAGTGGGCTTCAAAGCATTCAGGGAAATTATGCCATTATCTTGGAATCCTATTTTCACACCACAGACATGTTGAATCCCCCTGGTACATGTGAGAGACTAGAGACCAGGCACCTTGTCTTGTTCATAAGTCCATCCCCACACTAAGCCCCCTGCTGGGAACATTCATTTATCACAAGCACTCAGTAAATACAGACTGAATGGATGGGTGGATCTAGATGTGTATATTTGTATGTGTGCCTGGTGGTTTTGTATATGAGTGTGTATGTCCCTCTGTATGTGTGTGTGTGTATGTGTGTATGTATGGGGCCATGTTCCTTTTTATTTAGTGTAAACAAAATCTTAAACAAAAGGACCAACTGGAATTTTCAGGCAAACTTCAGCCCACATGTCTCCAGAGACACCTAAACTGTTAAGATTTTAAACTTGTTGAGCCCAAATTCAAGTCAACCGGTATCCTAAACCCACTACAAAGAAACAGAACCCAATTTTCACAACCTGATGGAGCCATCCAAACTCACTGCCATTGAGTGATTCTGACTCACAGCGACCCTCTAGGACAGGGTAGAACTGCCCTTGTGAGTTTCTCAGACTGTAAGTCTATGGGCGTAGAAAGCCCCGTCTTTCTCTTGTGGATTGGCTGGTGGTTTTGAACTGATGATCCTGTGGTTAGCAGCCCAACACATAACCCACTAGGCTACCAGGGCACCTGTATAACAGATGCATCACATACAGTAACTTTTCCCTCATGTTTTCATTGAGTGAAAGCTTGCTCTGAATGACTGTGCCCTGACTTGATGATGATGCATAGTAGGTCCACAATAGATGTGCCTGAGAACCACTCAGCAGTGAGTAGGCTTGGTGCTTGATGAAGACTTGTGTTGGCTAGACTCATTCTTAGGAAACATTAGGTACATGGAGGATACGTGCATCACATAGCCCTAGCACACAGTAGGTCTAAGTGCTATGCAGGTATCCGAACTGCTCCTTGCAGTAGTGAGCACACAGCTGGCCCTTTCTCCTCCATGGTGCTCAGAGCACAGTGGGGCATCTATACCCTATGGTACTGAGTACACAGTAGGTGCCCCTGTTCCCATTCTTGAGTGCTGAGTTAATGCCCAAACCTCCATGATGCTGGGGACCGTATGGCCCTCTAATACTGCTGTGCATACAGTAGTTCCATAACAGCCCCCAGAGGCCAGTAGGCCCGGTTGCCCTTGGCGACAGGGAGGGGCAGGTACCAGGTTCTTGCTGCGGCTCATGTTCTCCAACTCGCTGTGCATGCTCTCCAGGTCTGCGGTCAGCGCTTTCTGGGTCTTCAAGGCATCCTCGCATTTGACTTCGCTCTGCTGCAGCTAGACCAGGAGCAGGGCAAACAGAAAAGGCCTCTTGAAGCTCCCTCCAAGAGGTTCTTCCCCTAGAGCCCAGCCCCAGCCCAGTGGCAGCCCAGCCCAGCCCAGTGGCAGCCCAGCCCAATATTAGTCCAGCCCCAGGCCAATGGAAGCCCAGCCCCAGCCCAGTGGCAGCCCAGACCCAATCCAGTCCTAGCCCAGACCCATCAGAGCCCAACCTTGCCCAGTATCTGTCTAGTCCTCCTCTTGGCCCAACCCAGCTCAGAATTGCCCCACCCTACCTCGGTCCCAGCCTGGCCCAAATCCAGCATAGCCCAGTCACAGTCCAACTCAAACTCAGTCTAGCCCAGTACCAGTCTAGTCCAGTACCAGTCTATCCTAGTACCAGTCTAGTACAAATCTACTTCAGCCTACTACCAGCTTAGCCAAGCACCAGTACAGACCCTGCCCAATACCAGCACAGACCCAGACCCAGTATGGCCCAATCCAGCCCAATACTTCCCATTCTACTACCAACCCAGAATGGCCCAACCCAACCCAGCCCAGCCTGGACCAATACTGCCCAATCCAGCCCCATACAACTATTTACAGGTAAGCCTGATCACTTCCCACCCTAGGGAAGACAACATTGCTGCATCAGAGGCAGCCTGGCTCGGTGCCTGCTTGGTTCAACCCACACACGTCCGTGATATAAGGCGAGGCATGTCCACTCCAGTGCCTGGAGCTGCATCCCATTTCACTTGACAAGGACTTGCTGATGCCCACTTTGTGCCAGGCCTCAGGCTACAGAGAACAGGCAGCCTGGGCTTTCCCTGCATGGGGATGGAAGCTCTCTGAGAAGTAAGGGCCCAGGGGCACTGGGCATGGGAGATGTGGGCTGGGGCTTGTGGGGAGCTTCCTACAAGAGGTGCCTTGATGTCAGCTTGAAGAACAAACGTGGTTGGGGGTCTCAGAGACCCTGTAGCCACCTCATAAATGACATGCAAAGCTGCACAGGTGAGCTATCCTGGCATCTCTAGGGTTTAAAACCACCAATGTGAATAAAATGTCTCCTTCTCACCATCCTTACCTAACCACATCCTTTCTGGCAAAGCAGGGCTTCCAGAGAGGGAGACTGCTTATCCAGTGCTGGCGAAGGATAGTTTAAGTGCACAGACTGCTAAAAGCACAAGCCCGCCTCGCTTGGAAGAAGTACAGCCCCAATGCTCCTTAGAGGCAAGGCTGGTGAGACTGTCTCACGTACTTTGGACCCGTTGCCAGGGGAGACCAGTCCCTGGAGAAGGACAGCGTGCTTGCTAACGTAGAGGGGCCGTGGAAAAGAGTAAGGCCCTTGACGAGATGGACGGACCCGGTGGCTACAACAATGGGCTCAACCATAAGAACAATTGTGGGGCTGGCACAGGACCGGGCGGTGTTTCCCTCTGTTATACGTAGGGTCTCTGAGTCAAAACCAACTCGATGTTACCTGATAAAAGCAGCAATCCAGGCCTAGGGATGGTGACATGCCGGGTCCCAGAAGGCAGACATCCCCATTGGAGAAAACTGTACATGGGCATAAACCCTGCTCCCTTCAGATTCTGGAGCCCTGGAACCTCTGCATTGAAACCATTAGACCTCACCTCCGGAAAGCAGCCCTGGCTCAGAGAGGAATGACATGGTATCCAGTCGCAAAGCTCATGAGCCTCTGCTTGTGTTGCCCTTTCTAAAATGGCAGGCCACTGCCTCCACAAAAGGGTTAATGGCATGAAGGCTGGGGTGCTAAGACAGAAAAATGGGGTGGGTGGGCAAGAGAGATTCCCAGGAGGGAGCCCTGGTGGCAATAAGGATCCATTGCTTGGCTGCTAACTGCAAACCCCAAAGCTGGTGGTTTAGCCCTGCCAGCAGTGCTGCGGCATAAAGGCCTGGCGATCTGCTCTCATAAAGATGACAGCCAACCTATGAAGCATTTCCACTCTGTAACCTATGGGGCTTCGTGCGGTGGAATCTGCAAGGCAGGAAAGGGGCAGACTTCCAGGGAACCATGGATGCATTTTTGTGGGGAGCCACGGAGTGGATTCCAACTCAGAGTAACCTTGTGCACAGCAAAACACCGCCCAGCCCTGCCTCACAATTGTTCCTAGGCCTGAGCCATGGTGTCAATCCATCTCATTGAGGGTCTGCCTTTTTGCTGTTGTTACTGCGGTTGCTGCTGTACTTTACCAACCATGTTGTCTTTCTCCACGGACGGGTCTCTCTTAAGACTATAAGACGAAGTTTCTAAGGAGCACTGAGACCATACTTCCTTCAAGACAGATCGGTCTGCCCCCTCAACAGTCCATGGTACTTTCAATATTCGTCACTAGCACCATCATTCAAATGCATCCGTGCTTCTTCAGTCTTCCTTATCCAATGTCCAACTTTCACCTGCATAGCAGGCGACTGAAAATGCCGTGGCTGGGGTCGGGTCTGCCTTAGTCCTCAAAGTAACATCCGGGCTTTTCAACCCTCTCAAGAGATCATGTGCAGCCGACTGACCCAATGCAATGGTCCGCTGGCCTGTGGACCGCTGTTGCTCAGAGCATTGATTGTGGATCAAAGCAAAACAAAATCCTTGACCACTTCAACCTTTTCTCTATTTATCATGATGTTCCCTATTGGTCGAGTTGGGAGGATTGGGGGCTTCTTGACGTGGAGTCGTAATCCATACCGAAGGCTGTAATCCTTGATCTTCATCAGCAAGTGCTTTGAGGCCTCTCACTTGCAGCAAGCGAGGTTAGGCCATCTGCATATTGCAGGTCATTAATAAGCCTTCCTGAGATCCTGGTGCCAAGTTCTTCTTCACGGAGTCCAGCTTCTCTGATTACATGTGTCTGTGTATACATGCTATGATTGCTGACTGCCCAGGCCACAGAGTAAGTGTAGTGCTCCCACGGACGCCTGTACAAAGAATAAGGGAGTCAAGGCAGAGGCTACCCCACGGACAACTGGCTACCTATGGCCAAAGTCCTCCTGGGGTCAAAGTGGGCAGAGGTGGTTCTTCTCAGAGGGTGGTGGTGCTCAGGCCTCCAGCCCAGATGGTAGAATCACCCAGAATAAAGGCACATAGGGGATTGGTGGCCACTCTGCCCAGAGCCACGTTATGGGCTTTACTTGTATCCTATTTCATCCTCCGGTCCAACCTGTGACCTTCTCCTATCTATGTTGTGCAGATGAGACCATCGAGGGTGGGAGCAGGAAGTGAGTGTGGAGCTGGGCTTACCTGTCCTCATGGCCCTACACACTGCTCTGGTGTCTGGGTAGCTCTGGTCCCACCCCCTACAGTCCAGCAGCTACAATCCACAGAAGGCCCCAGAAGGATACATTTCTGCAGCTGCGCTTCACCAAAGGGGAACCGGGAGGACTATTTCCCAAAATGACTGGGAGGGGTGGAGACACAGCCAGGGAAATGAGTTTGAGTAAGGGGAGGTCATTGACATGGTCAATGCATCAATGACAGAAATGAGAGGCAAACATGCCCTTATCTTCTTACAGGGCCCCTGTGGAGGTGCTGGAAGATGGGGAGGAGACACGTGGCAGGCAGGCAGGCCAAGCTGGCCCCACACTCATGGAGAAGCCAGAAGCCTCTCTGAACAGAAGGGGTGCGAACTACACGTAGAGTGTAGGTGTGAATCTAACATGTGCCGCCTTAGAAGAGAGAGTGTCTGGGAAACCAAAGTAGCAAGTGCGAAAGCCCTGAGGTAGGAAGCAACTTGACGTGAGGCTAAGAGAGATGGTCAAGGTGACTGGATAGTCGCGCAAAGAAAAAGAGCGAAGAGATAGTGCTGAAGGGAGAAGTGGGAGAGGTGGTGTTAGAGGAGCAGGAGGGGTGGGGTGATGATGCTGGAGAGAGGAAGGGGGAGGGGATGCCCAGGGCCAAGCCACGGAACTGGGTGGCATCCAGGACACATGTGTGCATCCTCAGAAGTACCAGGGCAGAGCAGGGTCCATGCCATGTTTGCCAACCGTTGAGCTCTTCCTCTGGGCCTAGGGTCTCATCAGCCAGAAGCCAGTGTTCCTCAGAGCCACTGCAGAAAAGAGGCTCTGATTTTAGCCATCTAATTTAGCCATCTTCCAGTTGGTACCTGGTCCAAACGTGCTCCTTCCTCTCTCTGGCTTCCTGGAGCAAGCCAGATGTGGGGCCATTGAGCCCCCGGTACAGATGAATTCAGAGAGAGCAGAGCCAATGGGGCCCCTCAACCAGCCCGGTTCTTAGCCCCTGCTGTTCCCCAGACAGGACGGTCATGGCCTAGCAGCTGGGTTTGGCATTAGCAGCCATAGCTGCCACTACTTTTCAGGGACCACTGTCAGTGCACTCCGCCTGATCTAAGGAGCCCTGGTAGTGCAATGAGTTAGGAACTGGGCCACCAACTACAAGCCCAGCAGTTTGAACCCACCAGCCACTCCAAGGGAGAATGATTAGCCTGTCTTCTCCCCTTAAGGTTTAGAAGGTTTGGAAACCCTGTAGAGCATTGGTTCTCAACTTTCCTAAGGCAGCGACCCTTTCATACAGTTCCTCATGTTGTGGTGATCCCCAACCATAAAATTATTTTCGGTGCTGCTTCAAAACTGTAAATTAGTTACTGTTATGAATCAGGCAACCCCTGTGAAAAGGTTGTTCAACCCAGAGGGGTTGCGGCCCATAGGTTGAGAACCGCTGCTGTAGCGGGTCATTATGAGTGAGAATGGCATGGGCCCATGGCACGGGCTTGGGGGCTTTATCTAAGGAGCCCTGGCAGCACAGGGAGTTAAGTTTGGGCTGATAGCTGAAAGGTGGGCAGTTTGGACCCAGTAGTTGCTCCATAGGAAAAAGATGAGGCAGTCTGGTTGCATAAAGATTAACCATCTCAGAAATCTTAGGGAGCAGCTCTACTCTGCCCTATAGGGTCACTATGAGTTAGAATAAATTAGTGGTGTTGGATTTGGGTGTTTGGGGCTTGGTACTTGTGTTAAGCAGGGTTCTCTAGAGAAACAAAACCAGGAGACTT